GTCATCTTAACTCTTTAGGCTCTGAAGTGGGTCATTCGCAGAATGAACACGACCGCAAGTGAAATTTACTTGGATTCTTCTTACCATAAGATTCTTGAAACACGTGTCATGAGGTTATTGAACAAAAACATGGTAATGAAACGTCTCTTAAACATACACGTGTTCCACTTATTTCTTATTACAAAGAACGGATAACGACGAAGAAAGTGTTCGAGGTCAAATGTCTAAACGTTATTCTTTAATGTGTGACGCCTGAAATAGATATCGGAGAAATTTGACGTTGATTGACGAATCAATGAAAATTCAGGTTTTCATCAGCGACTCAAACCTGAGCCTGAATTTCGCTTGTCTTCCGCAGCGCCGTATAGCCTGCTAGAAGTTTATCGACGTTTCAGAGGTCATTGCTGAATTCATCAACTAGGCGATGAGTTGGTAACAACCCAGGTGACAACCCGTCGTCGAAAGTTCGATTTCGTTACAGATGAGGAGTCAACTGGAGGATCTCTCTACCAGTATCTTTGCACTCCAGAGAGCGTGAAAGCTACTGGACAGTGAAATAGTTTCGTTCTAATCGTGCAGAATTGTTTAGCCAGGCTTGGAAATTTTTAAATCAGTTGCACACAGATTGCTAATGAAATCTGCGTGTTGAAATGATCCTATTCTAAGCTTTCAAATTAATCTTTTGCTTCACATGGTATTGTGTACCTACTTGCATCGATTTAAAACATGATAAAAGTAACAAGTTTGTGAACACATTCTTAATTTATGTTAACCCCTTTAGAGCCGAAGATTATCTACGTAAATGATATTTAAGAATTGAGCCCGTACCGCGAAGAAAACACCACACTTCACCATTAGAAAGATCAAATGGTTGATGCGAGACGGTGTCAGTCAGGGACTTTGGGCTGAAGACGGCTTTGGCGCAGAGGATGAAAGAAACCTCCTGCCTCACTGTAATGCAAGACGATACTCTCTGAAGTAACTTGGCCTTGGAGTAACAGATATCCCGCTAAACAAAATGTTTCGCTGTGCAAGAAAATAGGTCGGCCGAGAATGTGCAAATGTCGTGTGAAGAGCAAACAAAACAGTCTTACAAAATGAACAATTGATAATCGATTCAAGTACGACATGTATCGCCAAGATTTCAGCAACGGTAGGTACAAAACATTTCTGCATGCCTTTGTCCCAGTAACACGAATAAATTTTCCTAACTGGTAACAAAAATCTTTATTTCACATCGCCGTTCCATGATTTGTGCGCGGTATAATCACATCGATTTGAATAAAAGTGAGAACTGTAAAACGCACGTATTCAAGGAATGTTTTACGTAGAACCTGCGAAAATGACACCCATTCGGTAAATTCAGTCAGAAACAAAAGGGAAATTGTTGGGGTAGAAGTGGGGAGAAATAGCATATTATAGTTAGAAGGTTCCCAGGCAATGCCCACTCGTCCTTCTCGTAAGGACAGAAAAAGACTGAAGACGTTAGGGTAATAAGCTTGATAACAAAGATATCGGAATTTTGATTTGCTTGTTAGTGAATGTTGAAATTATACTTTTGAAAGTTAGGTAAGCAACTTAGCGGCCTTCACTGTAATTGGGTAAGTTTTTATGAATTTAAATAGGGATTGCCGCATAAGAATCATGCAGTAGCAACTTGGAACTTGTGTACTGTCAGCATTTGCTTGAAGACAGAGGAAAACCACGAAAATCTGTGTCGAAGTGGCCGATCTCAGGACCTTCCGGACGCACACCGACTACTAGCCAGTGGTCCCTGCAGACAAAAGGGAATATAGACTTTCATGGAAGCTACTGTGCTCCAGAGAGTAGACGTTTCGAATCCTGTTTTGTTTCATTTGTGGCGACGGCTGGAATCGAATCTGGGACTTCTTTAACTCTTCGGTAATTACGCTGAACACTGGACGACAGGGCCTTGTGGTATCTTGAACCTTCAGATTCTAATAAGAAGTTGATTATTACGGGATATAAAATAAAATTTTGAGCAAATGCAATGGGTGTGGACTGTTCAGACTTTTTCACGTCTCGTAACTTACAGAACGGATCTCGACTAAATTTGGTACAGGTTAATTTGTGGTACTTTCTTTGTCTCTTTATCAATACTTCCTTTCCTCATAAATTCCATTTGTGTCCTCCTTCTGCCTCCCTTTCTGTCTGATTCTGCGAAACTTATCCCCGGAATGCAACTGGGCCAGACATGATCTCGAGGAGCAAACCGAGATGCGAGGAGGTGTCTGCTCTCTGCCACGGAATCTGTGACGTAATCAGCGCAGTACGAAGTCGCTTTGGAGGGTTAGGAGAGAACAATGGATGTGCCGATCCCTTAGTGGTACACATCTGTCTTATTATGATGATTAATGATGTCTGCCTAAAATGATTTCGTTCTTCTCCCATCTTGATGACGTGTCTGGCTTCTTACCGACCGAAAGTGGGCCACGGAAATGAAAGATGGGCCCGTACACCTGTTCAGTCTCAGACGATCTCATTTTCAAAATTAATTGTCTAGTTTCTGTGCCTTCTGCTTATAAATAATCTTTATCCTTCATATATGCAACTTCAACTCCTGTTTTCCTTCTATCCGATGAAAGAATCCACGCTGTAAGGATGTGTATGGGTGCTTTCATGCGAGGAACGATTTTCCTCAGACACACGAACTTCATATCGGATCGTAAGATTTGAGGTTTTCACAGCGGTGAGTATGAAGATTTCTGTCTTCTGGGTTGTTGCGCTCGCCCTGATGACGGAGGCAGTATGACCTCTGAAACGTTGGTAAACATCGAGCAGACTACACAGCGTAACAACCCAGAAGACAGAAATCTTCATACTCTGATGACGGAGGCAGTATGACCTCTGAAACGTTGGTAAACATCGACCAGACTACACAGCGCAACAACCCAGAAGACAGAAATCTTCATACTCTGATGATGGAGGCAGTATGACCTCTGAAACGTTGGTAAACATCGAGCAGACTACACAGCGTAACAACCCAGAAGACAGAAATCTTCATACTCTGATGACGGAGGCAGTATGACCTCTGAAACGTTGATAAACATCGACCAGACTACACAGCGCAACAACCCAGAAGACAGAAATCTTCATACGCTGATGACGGAGGCAGTATGACCTCTGAAACGTTGATAAACATCGACCAGACTACACAGCGCAACAACCCAGAAGACGGAAATCTTCATATCGGATCATTTGTTTTAGCACTTTCACGGTGCAGTCTTAAGATAATAGAAGTTCTCCTATTTTTATGGAATTTGAAAGTTCATCACATTTCTCACAAAGACCACGCTTCATGGAATGTAGTTTTCGAGCACATGGGCCAGGGAATTATTGTTTCTTTCTGACTAAGATCTTTGGCTGTAGACCTCCCCCACAATTTCAGTGTTTAGAAAGATATTATTATTTAAATCTACACCATATTCACTGTCGTAATAAACTTTCTACGTTTCTTCGAATACTTTAGCCTATTATGTTCCTCCATGTGTATAATTTCCTGCCTTAAAAGTACCACACTAAACTTTTCATGTCAAAGTGGAAGAATGCAAATTCGCCATTCTCACGCCCTCCTAGTAATTATGTTGCACTCAGTTTCTTGCGTAAGCGTGCAAGCACAAGTATCGTAACGGCGGTGAAATGGAGTGCATGTAACCGGAAGTGAAGATTGTTTTGTGCTTTACATCTGACAGATTGTAACCTTCACTTCAGGGTATACATAAATATGTGCACTACAAATCAAAGTGTGATATTCCACCTGCTTATACACAGGTTTTCAATAGGATTCCTCATTTAATAATAGAAGGTAATATATCAAAGTTCTCTTTGTTGTCAGTTATTATTAACATTAGATTTTTATTTCCCTCCGATACTGGACTGGGTCCAAATATCTGTTCTGTTATCAAGATTGTATTTGTTTTTTAATGTTATATTACATTATATTATATAATTATAATATGTTTGGGATTCGTTTCCACTAATCTTTCGAAATCAAATATTTCCGATCAAGGTGTGCGTATTTTGTGGTAAATTTGCTGGAAACCATTGCTTTAGTGGAATCACCACAAGAAAAAGTTTCATTGTCAAATAAGTGACGGCGAAGAACCGTAGAAAGCACTTCAACCTTAGGCCCATTTGTTATATTTTGTATCACACTTTATTCTTGTAAATCCATGAAACTTTAGGCTCTGAACTTAATGTAAACCGTAGCAACAAAATTATAAAATACAGCTTCTGAATCAAGGATTACTGATGACACTTTATAAATAGTTTTAATTGAGGTCGACATGCAAGGATAAAGGGTTGAAACACACCTCTCCCAAACTTATGCGAAATTTGTGTACTAGTGAGAACCACTGGTTAACGCCGCCATGTCTCGGTAGATGGCAGCATGGTCCTAGGAAAGTTTTAGCCGAAGCGGGAAATGTTTTCTTGTAGAGGGATATTTGTGAGTGGAACAAGAAATTGTTTTCGACAGCGTTTATGAAAAAGTCAGACGCAGTTGTGTTTAAATATGTATTATTTTACTTGTTTGTAACTATTAAGAGGCAGTGGTCACGTGGCTTAGAAAATTATTTTTTGCGGCGTGTTAAAAGTAATGGTGTCTGCAAAATTTGTACGCTATGGGACGGTAATGCACAGAGTTATGTTTCAGTTAACTTCACATGCTTGGTTAAATTTTACTTTTGGGTTTGATATGCATAAACATACGAATTTGTAAAACACGTCAATTTGTAATCTTGTTTGTGTCTTTACAGTATGACTACAAATGAATAATTTGTTTAATCTTGTTTGTGTCTTTACAGTATGATTGCAAATGAATAATTTGTAATGGTGTTAAAAAGTTTTAGGTTAGGTTATGTTTAACCTTAAACTTTGTAATCCTTTTCTTCTGCCGTTAATATGATGAAATTTCAATGCCCAGCAAAAGCTCAGAATATGGATCTGTAGAAAGCTAAAGGTTAACATTCTTTTTGTAGGCATAAGGTGTGGCGTGCATTGGCAAAGAAGATGAGGAGGAAACGAATAAGACAGGCCCTGGCACAAAAGAGAGACGATTTGCTTCAGAAAGGTAAAAGTGGACAAAATATCACCTCTTTGGTTTGGGAAAACTTTTTGGAGGGGAATAGTGCTACAGAACCAATTTGAAAACACATGAATGTTGTAATGTTAAGGAACAAGGTAATTAAGACTGCAAAATGACACTTATATCATGTTAATGCTGCAAGCTTCAAAGTCAGATCCAACCTATCATAAGATACCAATGCATTATTGAATGTAATATCATTCCTGATTTCTGAGTAAAATTTTGTAACCACCTGATGTGTGATTTGAGGTTCTCTCAGTGGCTACTATGAAGATGGCTGTTTTCTGGGTTCTTGCTCTGTGTAGCATGGTAGAAGTTTACCAACATTCCAGAGGTGCTCTCCTGATTTATAGCCTTGTAAAAATGGTAGTTGATTTTTTGAAGGAAGATAACTTCCAGCATTTTTGTTGACACAGTGTACCTATAATTTTGTTTTACCCACAACATAAACTAGTGGTTGGCAAATCTGCATTTTTCGAGATTTAACAACCTCCTTGTCTATTTCTAAATTTATTTGTCGTTAAAGAACAAGAAAAAAGAGAGAAGTCTCCACGATATCAAGCGTGGCTTGCTGAGCAGAATGTACTGGAAGAATTTCGACATGAAGAGGAGTCACGGCTGCAGACGGAGAGAGACCGTCAGTGGGAGCGTGACGAAGAACTGGCCCAACGGCAGTGGCTAGAACGTCAGGAGAGGCTTGCGCAGGCTAGAGAGGAGAAGACTAAACAAGAGGTAAGTAACAAAGAATCAGTTTGTCTCAGATTTTATTCTGCAGTAACAAAGACAAGAAATTTATGTTCATTATCACATTCTTACTGTAATTGTGCATAAAAGAAATTCGTAATAAGGACGTCTTGTCTGTCTTTCCATCCATATTTGTAGCCTACTCTGATTTTATGTGGGAAAATGCCGATGCAGGCCCCAAAAATTTCATTCTTCTTAATTCCCTGCGGTCAGTAATAATAATGTGGGCTGTTGAAGATGGAGGTATGAACCGTGCGTGTCTTTATTCGCATTTATCCGTTCTTTTAAAATGTTTTCATGATGTAAACTTTCTTTTTCTTTCTGTCGAGAAATGATAAAGACGTCAGCCCATCACAGTATAATTTATCTGTTATATGTAACGGGTGGATACATCTGTAATATGTCACTACTTTATGTCGACCCTTTGTTTATAATATGTGAAATCTTTAGGGTGTCCACCCTTATAATGTTACTTGTGTTATATGTATTGTAGTATTATGACTCATTGCACAACCTGTAACCATCGGACTAAGTTACGGATCCGCGGAATGTAATGAAGATGTTTGTCGAGCCTCTGTAGGAAACTTCTGCTGTCACGGCAACAGCGTTGTAACGTAGGAGGATAATGCAGGCATCTAAGGTCGATATTTTGGAGTATATTCCGGGTTGTCTTCTAGAAGTTTGTCAATGTTTCAGAAGCGCTTACTGCCTCTGTGATCTTTGTTCTTATTCTGATGTGGTCTTATTTATTTTGCAGTTAAAAATTCGTGAAGAGTGGGAACTGGAACAGAAGAAACTAAAGGAGGTTGAAGAGGAGGAAAGAAGAAAGCAAGAAGAGAAGCTGCAAAAACAGGTAAGATGTACAGTGAAATTCATCTTTAACAAAATTTGTCAACAGGGCGATGGTGGACTCCTGAAACGTCGGTAAACTTCTGCCAGACCACACAGCGCATCGTCTCGGAAGACGGCCATCATCAGGAACATAGAACTCTGTATTTTTTTAACTTTGTCGCACTCCGCATGCAAGAAATTAAGGTTGAGAGGGAATTTAAAGTTCACGCGTGTTTCATTAAATTGATAATTAAAACTAATTTTGTTTATTTCTGTTTTCAGGAAGATTTGATGCGCCAGATTGATGACTTCATAAAACACGTAAGTAGTTTTTGGCGCCGAGCTGGAACACTTTCCGTTACCGGTAGGGCAGAATTTCAGCCGAAGAATACGTCACATGCTCTTGTAGTGAGAGAATTATTTTTCCAAACTGTGATTGCGTAGATATTTCAGAAAGATTTGCTGTTATGGTGAGCTGCGATAGCTCAGTCCGTGTAATGACTGGCTATGAGCTGGACGTCTGCGGTTCAATCCCTGAGGAGGCAGAGTATTAAATCTTCTCGGGCAAACAGCCACGTCAACCGGTTTACTACGGTAACCAGCGGCCGATCGCCCGAGAAGATTTTATTGACTGTACTAAAATATGTTGACCCGTTCCAGTTTCAGCGAAATTTTTTTACAATAACGAGCTCGTGACTGTACTAAAATATGTTGACCCGTTGCAGTTTCAGCGAAATTTTTTTTACAATAACGAGCTCATAACGTGATGTAATAAACATCTTACCGTGGAAGTAACCTCGTTGAGTCCTCGGCGAGACGCATCGCGACCGGGCGTGGGGAATTCCTTGTGGTGGTGTCGCCCAGCTATACAGTCGCGAGAGACGCTGTGATAACAGGGCCGCAGCACCAGAAATATTAGACTGCGTGCTGTTTCTAACTTTTCTTTTCTCTTTTCAGGGAGGAGAACTGCCGCCTTCAGTAAACATTTCAACCGAGACTCATCCAGATAAACCTATTTGTCCATTTTTTTCGAAGACCGGGGCATGTAGGTTCGGTGATCGTTGTTCTAGGTGAGGCTCCGTGTCTTCGTGAAATGAGACTTTCGAAGGACGTTTAATATTTACTGTTGAGGTTACTTTTGCTTTATTATTTCAGAAATCATCCAAGACCAGGCATTAGCAAAGTTTTGTTGATTCCTAATTTCTATTCCCATTTTGGTATCGATCAGTCCATGATTGATGAATATGACACCGATCTCATGCTGGAGTATGACGACAGAGAAACGTACCAGCATTTCAGGTGAGCAATAATTTTGAAATGGATTCAAAGGATTTTGTTTGTTTGTAGCGATTCAAAAATTCCGTGCTCGTACACGCGCACCCTGGGCGGTGTTTCTGTCTCGTGGTTGTAAGACCTCGACCCCTATCTTTCTTCGGAGCTGTTTGGACGTGCTTAGGTGCATTGTCACTTGTGTTTATGGTGGAACACGTGTTTTGTTACGGAAGTCCGACGTCCTCGATAGTGCAGTCGGCTCTGGGAACACGTGTTTTGTTACGGAAGTCCGATGTCCTCGATAGTGCAGTTGGCTCTGCGATTTCAGGGAATTCTATGAAGATGTCCTGCCCGAGTTTGAGCAGTGCGGTCGAGTGGTTCAGTTCAAGGTGTGCTGTAACTGTGAGCCGCACTTACGAGGGAACGTCTACGTTGAATATGCGAGCACGAGAGATGCTGTCGGGGCGTTCCAGAAGTTCCAGGGCAGGTGGTACGGAGGCCGTCAGCTCAATGTCGAGTTTACGTGCGTGTCTTCGTGGAAGTCTGCGATATGTGGTGAGTGAAATCATCATCTAACGCCCCGCGTACTGTATCCTTACTTCCCAAGCCTGTACTACGTGAGACTCGACAGAATGTCGCTTAATAATTGAATAAAACAACAGAGATCTCTGCACTAAATAATGTGTTGGAAATTAAATAGTTTCCAGCTAAGTAAGAATGACGGGTTTGGGCTCGAGGAATCGTCGATCATTTAGGAAAATTACGTGTTTATCCGAACCCTTTCCATCTCCGTCTTTGCAGGCTTGTTCTTCAAGAGACGCTGTCCGAAAGGAAGGAGCTGTAATTTTCTTCACGTGTTCCACAATCCTGCAAATGCTTTCGCTGGTGCAGATCATGATTATGGGTATTCACGGCGACAGTGGAAACATAGTTCAAGGTCACGATCAAGATCAAGATCTCGCAGTCCTAGCAGGAAAAGGTCACGTAGGTTAGTAGCCATGTTCGTCTCGTGTGTCCTTTTCAGGAGCATTAGTTCTGAAAGTAAATTTTTTTGTGACTTTGTTTTTAAATAAAAGAAAATTTGCGATGGCTGCTTGCAGGTTTAAATAACTTCATGTACCGTCTAATATATGAGAGTGTCGGTCATAATTTTTATAAAAATCATTTAGATACTGAATTTCTTTAATGCATTCAAAGGGAGAGAAGAAATGCAGAACCCGCTAACTCGTTAAATCGCGTTAATTTTTTTTTTCTCTCGGGAACGTTTGATGACTT